AAAAAAAAAAAAAAAAAAAAAAAGGATACACACACACACACACACACACACACACACCACGGAAAGGGAACACAGTACAGAAGCAAGTGAAGCAACTTTAAGATGAGAAATTATTTGAATTCAACTTAAAACACAATACTGATCTTTAAACAGCCTTAAAATTAGTTTTACATAAGGCTATAACACAATTTTACCAAATAAAAAAAACTAAGAAACACTTAAAAGCACATGGAAAGAATTTGTTTACTATTAAACTACAGGTTCCGCCACTTTAAGCATATTTATCATGCATTATTTTATGAAAAAGAAACACTTACTTGATTTTTGACTGATGACTCTGGGGGGATGCAGACTAGTTTTGGCAAGTAGAAAAAGAAAGATTTTTACAAGTTAGTTTAGCAACTGTATATTAAAATGCCTATATTATTAAGTTATCCAGTGCTACAGTTATTTTGATATGGAATAACTACATGAGAAGTTTCTTTTTTTTTGAGTTGGAGTCTCACTCTGTTGCCCAGTCTGGAGTGCAGTGGCACACTCCCGGCCACCACAGCCTCAACCCGCTGAGCTCCGGCGATCCTTCCACCTCAGTCTTCCAAGTAGCTGGAACTACAGGTGTGCACTGCCACACCCAGCTAATTTTTTATTTATTATGGAGATGAGGATAAGCCAAGTTGCCCAGACGGGTCTCAACCCACCGGCTCAGGGCAATCCACTCACCTCAGCCTCCCAAAGCACAGGATTACAGGCTGAGCCACCGAGCCAGGCTGAGAAGTTTCTTAAAATACAAAGCATGGTAACTGTAATTATTAAATAGTAGTCTTTTAAAAAAATTAGAATGTTCAACATTTTCATAATGTTATGAGTTTCAACATTAAAAAAGATTTTTATTCTAATATAAAAGAAGTTTAAATAACAGAAGACTTTCTAATGGCATGATCAGAAAAGGTAACTTATACAAAATGTCCAGTTCTAAGATTCAGTTAACTCCCTAAACTGAAGCTAACATTAACATTTCAAAAACTTTTTATGAAAGACTATAAACTTCAGTCTTAGCAATGATGCCAAACCCTGTTTTGAAAACCTATAAAGAACATTTCCATGGTGGCTTTCTAATAATGTCTTACTCCATTTACAGCCTTTCTGTGACATATATACATATTGCCCATTAAGAAACAAAGTGCAGCCAGGCTCAGTGGCTCAGCCTGTAATCCCGCACCTTTGGGAGGCTGAGGTGAGTAGACTGCCTGAGCCCGTGTGTTCGAGACCCACCTGGGCAACTTGGTGAGACCTCATCTCTACAATAAATCAAAATGAGCC